TAGGGCATCATCCCCAGAGTTTGTTCAGCTGCTGGCTGCACTGCCTTCCTCCCAGCCTCCAGCTGGTGCTGTGTCCTGCCCATGCACAGCACAGAGATGGGGCTGGTGCTGGGGGAGCATTAGCTGGGGCGCATGGATGAACCAACTGTTCATAGTTAATTCATTCCAGCAGCATTCCTGTGCTGGGCTGGCTAAGGCAGTGTCAGCATTTCTTTTATAAACTGCAGTTTCCCAGGATGGGCTGCTTATTTCTGGGATGGGGAATTTACTGATTACAAGAGCCTAAAATTAGAGTTTTGTTCTCTGAGCAGATAGTTGAAATTCAGATTGAAAGCAAAATGATGTTGGCAATAGCTATCAACCTGTTAAGGATTGTTAACAAAGATTGCATTAGCTTAACTCTTGTGTTTTGTCTGATGCCTGGTTTTGCATACAGTGTCTCATGATTCACTCCTCTTCCCGATATCTGTGAGGAGAGGGGTGGAATTAGAGACACCATTATCTCCAAATAACAGTATCTTTTACCTTCTGGCTCTTGAAATTAGTGGGAACATCTGTGGCTGTCAACGTGTTGTAAAATGAACAGAAAAGTTAGATTTGTAGTTGTTATTCTTTATTAATTACTCTTTAGTCATCCTAAATCTGTATTTTCACATGCAGTATTCCTCTGGCTTTCCTGCTTCATTTTGAGTGCCAAGGACTTCTTGTTGCATTTAGGAGTATGTGTTGCACAGGGAAGGTGGGTAAAGAATAGACACGATTAAGCAGACTAATCATGTGATACATGAGATGAAAAAAGATTGCTAGTGATTGGTTGTATGCTGTTTGTTTTGTTGTTTTTTTTTCTCAGAGCTGTGATAAAATACAAGCATTGACCTGGAGCATTTTCCAGGCCTTTTTCAGGACTTGCAATGTATTTTGAAACAAGTGTGTGCTAGGTGAATTGTACAGGTAGAAAACCCCACTGTCCAAGGCTGTAGGAGCTCAGTCTTACAGAATGCTGGGTTCTTTGTCAAAGCACAGCTCTGCAAAGTGCACTGTAAAGCCTCTGAACTCTGCCACAAATTCCACTGTTCACCCACACAAAGATGCTAATGATGAACACTCAGAAAGCAGAACTTTGTATCTTTAAATTGAACTATACTGGATTTGTTGTGAAGCTGTGTATAGAGCCAGAGGAATAGAAACAGAAAATACATTATATTTAGGCATTTCAGACACCTCAATGTCTTTTCTGTATGTCACCTTCTCATTTTCCATGTATTTTAGCACTGTACTTAGTAGTTTCATATTTTGTAGGATAGAGGATATAAGTTTGTTTTGCATACCAAGCTTTCTGACTTTGCTTTTTAAGGCAAATGAATTACTGTTCTTCAGTAATTTAGTTAATATTGCTATATTGTTCTTTATATGGTGCATTCTGCATCAGATATATTGGAACTTTGTGGAATTACTTTAGAAACTGCAGCTGAGGTACAAAAGCTAAGAAAGATATGAATGGGGGAAAAAAGTCTCTTTTCCTCTCTGGTTTGCATACCTGTTCTCAGTCTTATTCTCTTTTCTGCCCTGGAAACCCAGAACTTATTTTTGTGTTGTATTTCCCTGTAAATTCTGTGCTAAGGATTCTACATCTCCTGTTGACTCTCAGGTTGAAGAAGTTCATGCCTGAAATACTGATATTTTCATTCACCATCTGTTTTTTTGTGTGGTTATGGATGTTCTAAGCACCAGAAAATGGGTATTCCTTGGAAATGGAGTAAGACCAGCCATAGTTATGAGTACCTTGCTTCACGTGTTGCATGTGTCTCAAGGTGCCATTCAAACCTTAGCCTCTTGCAGTAATGTAAAATGGAAGACTTTCTGGTTTTCTTTTTTCTGTATGCTGTTTGCTTTAGGCTCTTTAAATTCATTCTGTCGGAACTTAGAAGGAAAACTTTGATCATGAGTTGCAGGTCAGGTGTCAAATACTTGGGAAAGGGAGGGAAAGTAAAAGAGAAATGTTTTGTAAGTATGTGTAACTAATTGGAACTTTTGGTAGGTTGGCTTTCCTGTTGTTTAAGATTTTAGCATGGTGAATGGGGTCTCTGCTGTTCCTCTGCACATTATCTTGAGAGTAAGGTGTAACAGCAGCGAAGGGGAATTTCCCAGATAACCAGAATTTTGAGTAAAATTGAAAGCAGTGACCAAAGAGCCAGCTGTGTTGTCTTTCTCATTTTGCAACTTTCTCCAATAGTTTGTTGTGTGAAGAGAGGCCAGAGCACCCATTTAATTACACAGAGGAGCAAGGAGAGAGGTTGGTAGACGTTTGCCTCTTCATATATGTTTTATCCAGACACTTTGTCTCCCTTGGAGGTGTAAAGACACCTTCAGGCACACACTACATTATTGGTGAAGCTTTGTGTCAGCAGCTAAACTGTGCTGAATTCAAAAGACTGTATTTTATTTATGCTGAAATAAACCAAAGCCTCTTTCCCTGTAAGGAATGAGACACTGGCTGGCTCAGGAACATCAGAACTTGAGCTTGTGCTTGGCTGAGGTCCTTGGGTCCTAAGCTGTGAGAGCAGAAAGCTTTGGGTCTGAGACCAGTTGCAGATGTTGCTAAAGAGCACTGTCACTGCTGCTGTTTGTTCTTGGGGCTTGATTCCAGAGCAGTCCTAAGCCACATGTAATTGCTCTGCTGGTCTTTGATGTGTACCCTTCTAGGCTGGCCCTTACTTTAATGGGGTGGTGATTCTGCCACTGTGAGCTTTCTGATTCGGGTAAAATGATCCATGTGGTAACCTGTATTGAACAAAGTGATAGCAAGGAATGGAAAAAATTGCATCCATGCTAAGCAAAGTGTGAGGATATAGAAATTTTGGTTAACTTCAGGCAGTATTTTAATATTTGAAGACTACTTTTGCACCTCGAGTGTTTGAGCATTAATCCAACATACCTCTGCGGCTGATTCCAGCACAGTTGGGTATCTGAGCTTTGCTTGCTGCTACATCAAAAGCTTCTCTCAGTTGCCTGCTCCACAGTCCCCTTTGCTGTGCTCTCCTATCTCAGATAATTTCATGAGACTTCTGCTCACTGTTAGACTGGCAAAGCTGGGCTGATTGGGATGTCCTGGTGTTGCAATTCTGTGTTGTGACACTGCTGTGGGGTTAGGCTGGGCTGACTGTGTCCCGGGTTCCGCATGGGGTTTGTTTACACCACGCTACACCAGACACGGAGCGTGGAAAAGCACGAGAAGCTTGTTATTGAATTGAAGGTAATGCTGGGGAAAGGCGTTGGATTGAAACACTTGGGAAATAGGAGAAATTAGCACTTCAAGACAGACATACTATACCAAAATAAAGTGCTAAATTGATCCTTGCCTGGATGATCTTTACAGCTGCTTGTGATCAAAGCCTGCTCTTCTACTCCTGCTGTCAGTGTGGGAGATGAATTTGCTCTGTTTGAATGAAAACAGTAAAGCCAAAGGGGTATTTAGTGTTTGATGCTTATTTTTAGTGTGTGTTTCAAGATCTTTGATTTAGGTATTTTCAGAGATCTGTGTGTTATATAGATGGTGCAATATGAAACTGTTATAGAAATGTTTTAATATGAATTTTTAAGACAAAAGCATCTTTAAAAATAAGAACTCTGCCCTACCTTTAAGATACATGTGAGTAACACCAGATAGATACATACAGTGTGTAGAACTTCTGAAAATGTTTACAGCATTTTTTCAGCCAGTAATTCCCACTGAAAGTCAGTGGGTCTTAAAAAGGTATTGAAAAGGATATCCAAGTACCACACATGATTTTGAAAATTAAATCAAATAACCACAGGTGTGCTGTCATTCATGAACAAACCATGTCCATTCTTCCTCTTACATTCTGCTTCAGTTGTTCTCTGAAACACGTTCCAGGATCATGAAGTGACTTGGTTGGTAATCGGTTAGAAGTTGTCCTCCTGGCAGACTTTATGTTGTATTGGTGGCAGTGGGGAGGGCACTGATAGGAATCAAAGCAGGCTTTGCTATTTTTGGTGCATTGTTCCTGGTTCTTGCAGGAATGCTATGAGCTCTGCCTGTGGCTGTGCCAGGTCTTCGTTGTTTGGCTGCGCTGTTGGAAACCAGGTTGGGATGGTGCTTCCAGATTGGAAGGCAGAACTGGAGGCTGAAAACACATTTGAGTTTGGTTATGCTTGGGAGTTTGTAAAGACCCGAGCCATTGAGATAAGGGTATATTTGGATTTCTGGGAAATTTAATCACCCATTTTTATCACGGCAGTCTGTTTTGAGCCATGGATTCTGGGAATCTGTGCTGTAGAGTTCAAGGTGTGCAGCTGAACTTCACCTTTTGTTCCTTTCTTCAAATGCCTCTCAGTGCCAGTTCCAGCTTTTTAAAATCCTCTGTTGGCTCTGCTTCTCAGTACTGATCCAGCCTACGCTGTTCTTCCTGCTTCTTGGAAGTCTTTGCTTTTATTGCTCCTTATAGTACAGAAGATTCAGCATAGATTCATAAAGTGCTCTGTGTCCCAAGGTTTCAGAGCAAAATATCAAGAGTTAGGTCAAACTCTTGTTTGGGGGAAAAGAATGTGACTGCAGCATGCAGTGAGTTATGATAGGTATGAGTAATTTTTGCATGAACATAGTTGAAGGCAGGTATTAACAGAAGGAAGCAAATGGACTTTATTGTGCTGGCCTTAATTGTCAGCAAGTGCAGTGTATGTTCCAGGGCCATGTTTTGTGTGGTGTGTAGAAAGTGGTGACTGACATAACCATGAAATACTGCACAGAGTTTTATTAACTTCCCTTTTGTGAGCTGTGGAAACCAGTACTGTAATAGCATGTGCTGCTTAGCAAAATGAAGCCAGGACTTTGAGTGTGCACTGAGAGAGGAGTTGGAGCTTGGTTGTGCTGTCAGATGAGTTAGTTTTTATAATTAGTCAGCAGGTTTCTGAAAAGAAACATTTGAGGATTTTAGCATGAAGTTTTATATAAGTATTTTTATGATTTTTTTGTTTTTCAGGAGTTTATAACATATTTAATCTCATTCATGAATCGAACTTCCTTTTTAAGTCATGGATGACAAGGCTTCTGTTGGAAAAATCAGTGTCTCTTCAGACTCGGTATCCACTCTTAACAGTGAAGATTTTGTCTTGGTTTCCAGGCAAGGGGATGAAACACCATCTACAAATAATGGTAGTGATGATGAAAAAACAGGACTGAAGGTAAGAACCAATAACCTGAGTTTGTTCCCTGTTCTTCTAAACCAAACTAACCGTAGAGAGCTTAAAGAGGGACTTCTTTATTGTGGAAAACTTGACAGAAGAGAGAACTTATTCAAGAACCAGTTTTGTCAGTAATTTCTTCACTGCTGACGTCAGAGGTGGTAATTAGGTTTTGAGTAAGAGCTCTCTCCATCACTAGCTGTGGGTTTTATCCCACTTTCCAGAATCCTTCCTGAGGTGCTTAGGATGAAACAGACTGATTGTCAAGAACTTGGAACTGTGATTTTATCACAGCTTTCAGGTGGAAAGCAATATTAACATACATGGATTTGACCGTATCTGTTAATTCAAAGATACGTTGAAGTTTTCCCCAATGTGAAATGTTCTCTTTAAGAAACATAGAAGAGTAGTTGTAACTAACAACTTGGCATGAATCAGAGAACAGAGCTCTGTGTGAAAGGCTTGTGAGAGCTGGAGGGGCACTGACATCTTCTCACTTGTAAAAGTGCTGTTCTGAAAAGAGACCCTTGTCACCCTATACTTTTTTTTTTTTTTTTGCTACTTAAAGCAACTTTCATCCCAATTTGTATTTCAGCAGTTTTTAAGGAAAGTGGCACAAGGTAATCACTCCAAATTCCATCACCTTAATGTGTTGAAAACTGGATCTTCCCTAGAGTGAGTAGAGTTAGTGTGTTCTTTATGGGATATGGAAAGATATATTCCACCATTGGAAGGAACTGATGTCTGTCTACAGCTGTATCTATGTCTTTAAAGATGATAAGAAACCCTGTGTTCTGCCTGTTGGACTGGGTGCTCCTCTTTTCCTTTGCAGTAGTTGTAACAGAGACTTTATTGAACATTTCTTGATGCTTTTCCTCATCTTGCTTTTACCTCCCAACTGCTTTGTTTGTTTTTCTTGTGTTCCTTTGAGTCCTGGGCAAGACATGCTGTTATAGTGGCCCTTTTCTTTTACACAAGACTTCAAATAAATTCTGTCAGTTAAGGGTCTCAAGACTGATCTTTTGCTTAATCTAACAAAAAAGTTCACATGTTTTATGGTTGTTGCAGGAGATGTCACTTTGCATCATAGAATAAAAAACATGAACATTTCTTGAGCACGGAGCCTGGTGATCTGTGAAACCTGCTGAAAGGCTGTAGCCTCATGCTTGTCTTTCTCAATGCTGCAAATACCATCAGCATCAAGATCAGTATCAGCATCAATACTTAGGAAATTCAGAGTAGCCTCACAGTGGTGCTTCTGTGGCAGTGTCTGTAATCAGCTCCTGAAGCATCGTTTGAGATCCCAGGAGACAGACACTGTCAACCGGATTCTGTTCCATCTTGTTATTCCCAAAGAAAATTTGGAAGCATGAAATGCCATAGTCTGCAACACTTCTTGCTCCACATGAGAGCTGTTTGTATCACTGTTTGCTTCCAAAGTGGTTTATGAAATGCTGGCTCCAGGTGTGCTTTTCTCTTGATGAGGAAGGAAGAACACGAGCTCTGCTGCCTCCTGATCATCAGTTGTAAAATAAAGTTACACTGTTCTCTGATTTGGCACTGAATGCCACAGAGCTTTGCAGGTCTTAAGCTTCATTATGAATTTGGTGCCAGGACTGAGCACAAGCCTTGAACAAAGTGATTTACCTTGAGCTTTTCAGTATTTCAGCATGGAGAGCATGTGCTGTTGGTTATTGGCTGCAATCTGAGTGATTAATGGGAATTTTCTACCTTAAACAAGCACTCTACATTGCAATCTAAATTCTCCATAGAGGGACCTTCCTGTTAACCTCCTTCCTTCTGCTTAAGGAGAAAACTTTTAGCTGAGGAAATGGGAAGACTTGCTAGCTGTTCTTAGGGAAAAAAAAAATAAATTGGTATTTTGGTATTGTTCTACAAGAAAAGAGACATTCTGCCATAGCCTATGGCTTTGTTCTTGGTATTTCTTTTTCCTCAGTTTGCAAGTAGCCATTCAGTTGCCAGTGAAGTGGAGTAGTGGAAGTTGTCAGAGGTGTGTTAAATGTTGTCACAGTGATATCTGAAAGTGTTTCAGTAGTTCATGAAAAATTAATGTTAACAGTAAGTGTGAGAGCTGAGGTTATGTATTTCATAGGAACAAATGAGATTTTTTTCAGGCAGAAGCAATTGCTTTGGTACTTATAACTAAGTTAATTTGTATGTGTCAAACTCCATTTTTTTTTTTAATGTGTCCTCTAAGAAAAGCAAAAACTGAGTTCAGGTTTTTGTTTGAGCAGGTGTCTCTTTCTGGTGTTCTCTCTTTTTAGAAAAGCAGTTAGAGCATATTTTATTTGCTAATGAGCACACTCTGAGGATGGTGCTGGAGGTTCAGGTTTGTGTTTGCGGAATGTGACGGGCTCTGAGATTTGTACATCAGGCCTAAGGCTCTTGTTTCAAATTTGCTGATAATTCTGTAGGTCTAAGTAATAGTGCTATGGCTTGAGTTAATCTAAGTTTTTGTTTGGCACTTCTTTTCTTCCTCAAGTCCAGACAGAGAAATATTTCCTTTCAATTTAGTTAGGAACCATATTTTTCTTCAGTCGGTCGTAATTCATAAATGCATTTTTGATTTTGTCAGTGCTGAAATACTTGGTTCAGTTTAAAAAGGGGTTGTCAGTGAATGTTTTCCAGAAATACAATTTGCCAGCTGTCTCTGCTTTCCAGTATTGTTCCTGTATCTGCTTTTGCCCACTGGCAGTGGGACTGGAAATCTGGATTTAGGAGAGCTTTGCTCCTGGAGCCCAGTGCAGTTCTGAGCTCCCCGGCACAGCGAGACCTCTTTCAGCAGAGGCCAGCAGCACATGCATCAGGAGAAGGGAATAAATCACAGTTCTGATCAATCCCCTGGTGTGCTAAAGGAAGTTTGCTACCTCCTAGTTAAAGGTTAAGTAAAATCAGTTTTGAGTTTTGTGAGAAGTGGAGAAAACCCTGATTAGGGCAATGGTTTCTTTGCCCAGCCTCAAGCATTTATCAGGTGCCCGTGTTTGTTGTTCCCTTGTGCCCTTGGCTCTGCCCCGCGCTGTCAGGCTGGCTCTGGTTTTGGGGCTGCAGTGGGGATTCAGGCACATTTACACCTTCCTTCCCATGATGTGGGGAATTGGTATTCTTGTGTAAGAAACTGGTGGACACGAAGTTAACCTTGGCTTGTGTTTTAGGCCTCGGTTTGCTTGCAGCTGCTGTGTTGATTTTTGGGGCTATGAGAACAACAGGACTCCTCTAGTCCAGAAGTGTGGTTACTGTGCCTTTTAAAATTCTTTTGAAGTCTGGGCTGAGAAGGAAAGCTTTCTTGAGAAATTAGTTTAAATTCCTTTTTAAATGGGGTTTTGATGATGATGTTTTAGAATATCTATGAGATGGATTTTTTTATTTTTACATGCCTGTTTTCTGTAAACAACTTGAGTTTGTGTTCTACCTGTCACTACTTTTTTTGGGAGATTTTATTTTCAAGATCATGTTTTATAGATGTAACGTCTAAATATGTTATTCATACTGATTGTTTTACCAGAGTAGATCACCATTCAGATTTTTTGCCTTTTAATCTTGATAGAGTATTTTTTATGTGCCTTTTACATTAATGCCATTACAACTTGTAGTTCTCACTGGATATGAATTTTTCACCTTCCTTTCCCTAACCAAAGTCTGTTGACTGTGAGATCAGTTTTTTACCAGAATGAATTTTAACTTCAGGTTTCACAGAAAACAGGTTCTGTAAACTAGAAGTTACTCTAGGTTTTTTTAATACATAGTCTTTAAAGGGGCTGACATGACACTATCATTAATTAATTCTATTTTGTTGCAAAATATAAACTCCATACAGTAAAGGAACATGGTGCATCTTCCATCATCATCATCATCACCTTTCTGATGAATGCCTGCAAAGACCTGAATAATAAATTTAATGCTTGAAAGCCTTCTGCCTTTGATAACCCCATGCTTGTGCTAGATTTTTCCACAATGAATCACGTGAAAGAATATTAAAATTGTTGGGAGGAAAATGGAAATCTGTGGATTTCTGTAACTAGTTGCAGGTTACAGATGCCTCCCTCTGTGGGTGTGCAGCTGAGTAAGGCAGTTACCCTGTCTTGCTCCTGGCAGGTATCGCAGCACAGGAGTGTATTTTAATCTGTACAAAAAGTGACATTCTGAATCAATTTCGAGAGCATAAATGTCTCCTGTTGTTGTTTAGATTCTGTAGCAAAACAATCACTAGGTTTTTAGTTTTTGGAATAGTTGGATAATTTGGCTTTTATTAGCTGGCCTTTAGCATCTCAAGTGAGTGAGTTTACAGAAAGGTAAGAATATGGAAGTGCTCCTCGGGTTGAATTTTGGTGTCAGCAGGAATAACCAGCCACAGCTGAATTGTTAGAAGCAAGTACCTTTTGCTGGTGGCATCTGGTCAATACTTGGTAAACTCGGCCACTTCCCTGTTAATTGCAGAGGAATGGACAAAGAGTTTCCTTAGAAGCAGTATCTGAGAGTTTCCTGAAATGAATGCTTTCTCTCCCTTTCCACTTCAGGACCTCATTTCACACTGTTCAGGTGGCTTCATGCTTTCATGTTGACTTCAGTGAGCTCAAAGTCAGGCTGCAGCTGAGCATTAGGAAACAAAGCACTGCTGTTACTTCTCAGCATGATGGCATAATCTTGTTCCAGGTGCTTCTCTTCCTGTGAAACCTTGCTGTCTTGCCCATGAACCATGTAACATATTTAATTATATTTGTCCTTTCTGGTACTAATCTGAGAATTGTTATAGCCCATACTGTGGGGCATCTGTAGGTTTCTCTGCCAAAGGTAGTCTTTGTGGTTGGTGATTAAAGACTAGTTTGAAAGTAATCTCCTTGCTTTTCCTAGTGTAGAAAATTCCTGCTTTGAGCTTGTAGATTTGTTAGAGCAGGGAGGATATAATCCATGCTGGTGAGTGTTTGCACCCTGCAGTTTGTGTTTATGGTTGTAAGTGGGTTAAATTTGTTGACTGCTGCTTTGGCTGGTAAATAAAAAGCCTTATGAATGACCCTGTGCCTGAGGCGTTTTTTTTCGTTGTTTGAACAATCTTTTCTTCTTTTTTGTGTCCCAACTCTGTGGCTCTCAGATTGTGGGGAATGGAAGCGAACAGCAGCTGCAGCGGGAGCTCGAAGACGTGCTGATGGATCCACCCATGGAAGATCAGTCCAGTGAGAGGGACCATGGAGAAGAAGTCAGAACTGACGGAGATGGGGAAGAACCTGTTGTCCTTGAAGCATCAGCATCTTCTACCATTAACCCAGTGTCAGTGGCAGGACTCCAGAAACCAGAAATGAGCTTGCCAGTGAAACCATCCCAAGGAGGTTAGAAAAAAAGGGGGGAAATACCTGGTAGTATCATATGAACTTGTTTTTTGTGGGGAAAGTGAAGAGAATTTAGGTACAGGTATGGCCACTGGCCTTCCCCTGTGTCTCACATTATAATCACTTGGTGCAGTAAATTTCAGGTTATGTATGTGATGCAAGAGTTAATATCTGCTGAACTGGCCTGTCTTATGAAAACACTGCTATGCCAGCCCTGAGATGTGTGCACAAATATGAAGGTTACTTGCCTGGCTGTATAAAATATAAATACAGGTCTTTCCTATAGTGTTTTGACCTGGCCTGACTTTTCTGTTCTTACCCTCTTTGGTCTCCTATTCAGGGGGGAGTCAGTGTCTGACACTGACTTGGTGTCTTGCCTTGTTTTTCACGTTCCCCCTCGTGTCATGCCCTAGACTGTGAGGATTTGAGCCCGTTCACGCCCGTGACAGACGAGGACAGCGTGGTGTTCAGCAAGCTGACCTACCTGGGCTGTGCCTCGGTGAACGCCCCGCGCAGCGAGGTGGAGGCGCTGCGCATGATGTCCATCCTGCGCGGCCAGTGCCAGATCTCCCTGGACGTCACCCTGTCGGTGCCCAACGTCTCTGAAGGGACTGTGAGGTACAGGGCTCGCTGCGCTGGGGCTGTGCATTCATCTTGACTCCTTTGGAAAGCAAACAGGCTGATGGTTTACCTGGCAGGAGACTTGAGCAGCTTGGATTTTCTTTAGTGGGAGAAGGGGGTTTTATAGATATCTGGGAAAAGGCATCCTTTGAATTTGTTTACCAAACACTCTGCCAAGAAGTACTGTGGTGATCCAAGCTGTCTCCAAAGCCACAGTGAGACTGGTTAGTGATGAACACTTGGAGAGTGTTGTAGAAAGTGTGTGGAAAGTGTTGTAGCCTGGAAAGTAGTTTGTAGAGCTAGAAAATGTTTGATACATGAGGCTTAACAGAGGTGGGTCTGTCTACTAAATATTAGTGTAACTTTCTGAACACTAATCCCTGAAAACCATGGGGAGGTTATTGATGGAAATGTCTGCACATTCTACTTTTTTGTGCTGTTCAATTTAAACACCATTATTGTTGTCGTGCTTTGCAGTAAATGACAGGGGCTAGTTTTTGTGGTGTACTTTCTCTAGGGTGTGTGAAATCGTCAAAGCTTGCAAGTTATGTCTGGCTGAAATAATTCTTCTGAAGGTGCAAGCTTGCTTTTTTTTTTTTCCCCTCTCTCTATTTTAACAGACTTTTAGATCCTCAGACAAACACAGAAATAGCAAATTATCCAATCTATAAAATCCTTTTCTGTGTACGAGGGCACGATGGAACCCCTGAAAGTGATTGCTTTGCTTTCACTGAAAGCCACTACAATGCAGAACTCTTCAGGATTCATGTCTTCCGATGTGAAATCCAAGAGGCTGTAAGTGCAAGCTTTTTGTCAAATGATAATTATGTACATGTAAATGTTATTACTGAAATTTAAGTGAAGTTTTTCAGGCATTTTAAAAGTAGTGTAATTCATCCATCAACAAACCTTAGTTACGGGATAAGAATGCACAGTTAACAGTTTATCCTAAGAAACATAGAAAACCAGTTAATTATATGCTAAAGCTGAATTATTTTTGTACAATTTGTTGTGAATTAGTGAAAATCCAGGTAGGTTTCAGCTGATGTTTGTGCACTCTGGCTGCAGGTGAGCCGAATCCTGTACAGCTTTGCCACTGCCTTCCGGCGCTCTGCCAAACAGACCCCGCTCTCTGCCACTGCCACGCCCCAGACTCCAGACAGTGACATCTTCACCTTCTCCGTGTCCCTGGAAATCAAAGAAGATGATGGGAAAGGTTATTTCAGGTAGAGATTGTTCTTTTGTGCACAGTATGGTTCTGTTGGAAAGTGAATGAAGAGAGAGTGTGAGGCTGAGGTGGTCCTGAACTCCCATTCTGAAGGTTTTCTATTCTAGTTTAAATGAATCCCAGCCATAAATTTTTTTGGGAAATAATACAGTGATAACCGTCTGGACTAGGTAATCTTTGTCATTGAACTGAACATTGGTGCTATCTGCAATGTGCTTTTTCTGTTTAGTTTTTTTCCTATTGTCTTTAAGTCCTCTGCAATGCCTTTTAAGTTGTGCTCAGCAAAATTGCTGCTGAAGCTGAAAGTGCATCATTGTCACCGTGCTATTGGGAATATTGATGCTGAGACTTCAGTGTGTGATTGGCACTGAAGTGTAGTTTTATGTTTTCCCCCTCTTTTTGCAGCGTTTAGAAGGGCTTCTTCAATGAAAATAGAAGGGAAATAGTCTGAGGGTTGGTCACTCCTTGGCTTGTTAGTGTCATGTGCCCCAGCAGCCACATCCCTTGTGAAAGCAAGCAATATGCGGTTCCTTATGGGTAATACTGTATGTTACATGGGGAATCAATATTTAGAAACTGTTGAAATTAGCTCACAATACTGACCCCCACAGTACAAGTCCCCTGTTTTTATTTTGTAAACTGTGTCCTTGGTTTCCACCTAAACCAATTGCCATTTCTATCATGCTGCTGATCACAGCATGCAAGGAAGAAAGATTTTGAGTGCTTTGGTGTAATGAACTACACCAGTGTCTGATGCTGGGTTTGGTATATGCAAGGAATGCAGATAAATGATCCCCTGAGATTTATTTTTTCCTTTCCTTTTGAATAACAGTGCAGTTCCCAAAGACAAGGACAGACAGTGCTTCAAACTCCGCCAAGGGATTGATAAGAAGATAGTGATTTATGTGCAACAGACAACGAATAAAGAACTTGCTATTGAAAGGTAATGTCATCAGTTATTTTGTGGATACTCCATTTGTGTGATTTAGTGCCACACTTCTCCTGAGTGTGGTAAACCAGGGGATGAAGTGGAACTTACCTGTGTGGGCCAGAAGTCCTTGTGAAAAGGCCAAAATGAAATCATAAAAGAGGTCCTTGTGTTTCATCCTTGTCTCTACTGAAGGGTAAATTGATGCAAATATGTCTAAAAAAACAAAAAAAAAAGCCACCAAAGGAAGGGCAGAAGACTGCAGGCCAAACGTTGTTGTGGTATAAGGAATCCCTTGTTAGCAGTGACTTCATCACACTGTTCTTTAAAATGAAGGTAATGGAGCGATTTCCAGGCTGCTGTAAACAGGGTAAAACCATATTGTAAATATGCTTCTGAAATCTTGCTCGACATTTTTGATGGTGGCTTGACATCAGTTTGCTGGACATGCTTGATGCTGCTTTCAAATGTCAATGTTTGCTGATGTTTGTCAGTGGATTCATGGGCTGCTTCTGGTGTATGACAGCACATACTTGGATAAGAAATGTTAATGGCTTGTTTGTGAGCATGTCTAATTTCTGCAGTTATATTTTTTTGCTTGGCTTTGCAGATGTTTTGGCCTTCTCCTTAGCCGTGGGAAGGACGTTCGGAGTGGTGACATGCACCTTTTGGATTTGGTAAGGAGCTTTCCTAACAAAATGCAGTTAGAATTTTGGTTATGATTGTGCATGATCTCAGGATGGACAGAGAACACTTCTGCAGTTGTTGATGGGAACTGATGTAGGTTCTACTGTTGAGGGGGAGGCTCTGGGCAGTTGAGTCAAATCCCTCCCTGCCTCTGCTGCTCAGTTAGAACATGGACCTGGTGCTTGGTCAAGGGATTTGCCCAGTTTTAGTCAGTCATGACTATTCTCATTCAGGGGCCTGAAATAAGAAACATGGAACCTTATTATTAGACATGCTGAATATTAAAGTGCTATGCTTTGAATGTGGAAAGTTTTACCGCATAGTTATCAGTGTGAGAATTGAGGCCTGAGAGGCTTCAAATATAACACTGAGAACTAGTGGGTGCTTTGTTCTTATGACTCACTTTTCTCTATAAAGTAATGATAGAGAACATTTGACTTCACAAGTGAGAAGTGACAACAAATTTGCTAGTATTTATGCAGTACATAGTGAGTACTCAAAAAGGTTTAATACTACATGAATAATTTTGCTTTCTACCAGGCTTTGGATTGCTGAGAAAATAAGGTTGTTGGGAAGACAGACAAGCTGAACATTAGATAAAATACTGATTTGGTTCTTAATGACTGAATAATATGTATTTTCTCATCTACACCTCTGTGAGCTGAAAGTTGCTGTCAAATGGCCACCTCCAAAATACTGGTCATGACATGTACTAAAAGAATAATTAGTATTAATTGGCCTTTCTGTGTTATCAGCGTGGGCACCAAGGATTGCAGGGGAACTCTGTTATTTCCTTCAGAGATGGTCTCTGTCACATGAACTTGCCCTTTCTTTGCCAGTGTAGTACCTTTCATAGGGCTGGCACTACAAAATGTAGAAGTTTCTTTAATTTAAAAAGACATACATAAACTTTCCTTGTTTCCAGGAGTCCATGGGTAAAAGTTCTGATGGGAAATCATACGTGATCACTGGAAGCTGGAATCAAAAGTCTCCACACTTCCAGTTTGTAAATGAAGAAACACCAAAAGGTATGAATGTTACCAGGTGTTATCCCTATGCAGGGAAATTACTTCCATAGTGGGCATTGGATCAATTCCCTTTTCTTTTCAGAAAAATCTCACATTTCACAAGATGGGATATATTCTCAGAAAGGGTGCTAAATACCACATAAAATAAAAAAAATAAAAAGACAAATAAAAGCAAAGTGTGTTCAGTAATGTGTTGTAGGAACTGTGTCCTAGTAGGAGGCCCTGCAGGTGTGGGGCAGGATGCAGGTGCTCTGTGCAGCACTGGAGCTTTTTAAGAATCCCATTGAGAATTGCACTAAATGATTTCTGCAGGCACTTGCTTTGCTCAGTGTCTTGTGGTCAGTTCAGAATTTTCCAAAACCAAGTTTTTAATTAAACAGAAGGATTTCTGTACCTGTGAAAATGGAAGTAAACCACTCCAACTTGTCATCCAAAAATAGCTGATATCGCATTGCTCTCTCAAGTCCTGAAAGAGACTGTCATTACTTGTTTTAAGATGTCAGCTGAATTATCATCTTTTCAATCTCTTGTTGCTGTTGCATGCCAGAGGTTGGGAAGTTAATGGGAATTGACTGGGCAAAGTCATAAAAGTCAGCTGCTGGGCACAATGTGGTGCTGGAGTGGATGCCATCCTGCCTGAAGGACACAATTTATCATTCCCTGCCAGAGAGATCTCATAGGTCACTGAGCCCTGTTGCCTCCTGTTGGAGCATCAGAGTGTGTAGTCAATTTTTGGAATGTCACAGCTGAGATGGTCTTAAATGTCTTTAATATCATGGTATTAAACACTTAAGTAACTTCTAAAACCAAAAAAGAATTGAATTGTAATTAGGCTGGATGGTAAGAGATCTGCACTGTGCAGTTAAGTGCACAGATTCTCTATAATGTTTAACGAAGGTTTTGGATACATTTCAGTGGGATTTGAAAAAGCAGAATTTTTATTCTCTTTTAACAAGATCATTTTCTTGGCTTGAAGGCTGCAGTTTCCTTACTCTCTAGTGGATAGTGCATAGTGATCTAATTTCCCTATTTTGAAACTTGTAGAGGTTTGAGATGTTAAATTAGGGGGAAAATCAATTCTGAAAAGGAAAGTTTTCTTTTTTTCTTTCATGTTACTGGGAAAGGGGTTATGAAATACTTTATTTGAAATATTTCTTTTCATATTGGCTTCATTTTCTCTCTCTAGATAAAGTGCTGTTCATGACCACTGCTGTGGATTTGGTGATAACTGAGGTGCAGGAGCCTGTTCGGTTCATTCTGGAGACTAAAGTCAGAGTCTGCTCACCTAACGAGAGGCTGTTCTGGCCCTTCAGCAAACGGAGCTCAACTGAAAATTTTTTCTTAAAATTGAAACAGGTAATGCGTTAAAAAATAAAGAAATAAAATTGACAGTTAATAGGCTGTTTCTCCCTATGTTTGCTAAAACCCTTAGTAATATAATGTTCATAATGCAACATTTTCCTCCTGAATCAAAGAGGTAAAATAAATGCACTTCACTTTTAGAAAAGTTACCCTTCATTGTGCTGATTGTTGCTGGCTATCAGCAGTTCCTATAAAGAGACTCCAATAGCTTTTTTGATAGCTTTGATGAGTCTGCAAAGTTAGAGAGGCTTATGGATTTTCCAGCCAAACCACAGCAAGAAAAGGAACAGAGGATTTATCTGCAAACTGAGGCTGTGCTGAGACTTGCTGCCATAAGGGTATAGAGGGGTAATTGTGTAAAAATTAAGAGGGAAAAAAAGTCCTTACTGTAATCCTGGTGACATGGTATCTGATCTATCACTAAACTTTTATTATACAAATTAAACATTTCTTTTGAAGTTTTTTTAGATGAGCAAGCATTCACATGAAATTCCAAAGGAAATTATTTTTTGTCAAAGTCTATTTTCTCCTTCTGAATGGTTGGAAACAGATTTCACACATACCCCAAGTTTGCCCTGGGGAAAAAAATCCAAGCAATCACAAAAAAAAATCCCTAGAACTTGTTAAAGAATTTTACTGTTTTTTCCAACTTGTATTTTTACCCATCTACTAAAAATGGAAGCATTATTTCTGTCCAGAAGATTCCTAATAACAGTACAAGGCAATAACTTAGTCTTAAAATAAGGGTGATAAGTTGAAGGTCCAAGTCACTAAAGAGATGTTCTACTTCATGTACTTGAAGTAGCTGCTGTTCTTCTGCTCTAGAAATTATTGTTCTGAAATAAAAGTCCTGTTTAAAGAACTGGAAATGTATAAAAGCAAATAACAATGTGGATGTACGTGCTCTCTCATGGCTTAGCAATTCTGGGTGCAGAAAAGAAAAGCAGTGTTGGAGTCCTGATTTCTTGATAAGTGTTCTTATTTAGAAAGGTTTTGAGTTAAGCAAGAGGCTTTTCTTCATTCTTTTTACACTTGCCTTCAAGTGCTAACAAAGAGTGGCATCTGGAAGATGAAGTTCACCAAGGATTCTTTTTCTGTGTTAAAAAAAAAACCCTTTCCTTCAAAATTTAAGGTGGAAAAATTTTTCATGGATGAGCTCAGCCTTTTTAATTAGAATATTTTTGAGGTGGAACACAGAGATATTGAATAGTAGAGGCTGTTGGGCTATAAATATTCTACAGCCTCCAAAAGGTGCCTTTTCTGTTTGGCAGTTTAAAGGAAGCTTATCTTACTGAGCTAATTCTGGATCTTTTGTCTTACCAAATTCACAGACATTGTGACTTATCTTGGCCAATTCTCTTTTTCCACAGACACTGTCGGGTTATTCCACTTGCAGTGTTTACTAATGGAAGATTATCAAAACTCATAGTGGAAGCAACAAATATAGAATGTACTGCCTGATAAGCCTGGAAGGGAAACCTGTTTCTGTGGAGTCATGATTAGCCTATTAAAAATACAGCTGTGTAGAATTGGCTTATCTTACTTTGGCAGTGTTTCTTTATTCGGAAATGGTGAAAGCAGAGGGATTTTATTTGCTCCGATTACATTTAGTGATTTAGTCATTTTTAGTTTTGGTGCATTTCTCTTCATTTTTCATGCTCCAAAGAATAAAATTGAGCACTGGAAGCTTAGTATGGAGTATAATTATAAATCTTATTTCCCTCTTCACATTCTCTTTTCTGCTCTCTATTTTTATTCATTTAGGAAAAAAATTCTAAGTCCTTAAAATGTATTAAAATTTTAGAACTGCTTCATGAAGAAAAATCCTTCTTTAAAAGAAGGGAAGGTACCAAAGCATTGAAAATTATGGAGGAAGAGGGCCACAGAGTGGACTTCGGGGCTCAGCAATTTGTGTTCCTGCAGCAGTGTATACACAGAGTAGGAAGCTTTGCTAAAGACCATTGCCATGGGAAAATCATGGAATCCTAGATTGGTTTGGTTTAGAAGGGACCTTAAAGCTCATCTCATTGTGTTCAAATAAATATGAATACATTTTTTAAGACTACTTTTAGTATCCCCAGAAACCATTTCTATTTTAGCTCATTTTATAAATTCTCTTTGAAGAATAATTTGACATATTTTAAAGGTTTTGCTTTCAATTTTCCACTGCTGTTTAAGTAAAGGCAAAGTTGCTGCATTTTGAGGAACCTTCATCTCTTAGACCACAGATGCATTTATAGCTTTAAAAATCAGTGCATTTGTGTCCAGTTCATTTGTGGTTGGAAAGATGAGCTCCCTGTGGATGGCAGATCCCAGTGACACTTGTGCCTGTGACAGACACTTTGTGCCTTTGGGTGCAGCACGCTCTCAGCACATTTCATGGCATCAGAAGCACTGACAGCCTGCACCTTGCATTAAGTGTGTTCCTGGTATGAACATTCCTCACTGTAGAATGGAATGAAAGTTGTTCCTCAGCTCTTCTATTCCAGAAAGAGAAGGCAGAGCCTTAGGAAGTGATCTGGCATTTGTGTAGCTTCCTCAGTAAGGTGAACCTTGTTTCCTAGATAAAGCAAAAGGACAGGAAGAACAACTCGGACACGTTGTATGAAGTTGTGTGCCTGGAAAGTGAGTCAGAGAGGGAGAGAAGGAAAACCACAGCCAGCCCCTCTCTCCGCCTGCCCCAGTCGGGCTCGCAGGGCTCCATGATCCCATCTCCTCCAGAGGATGATGAAGAGGAAGGTAAGAAGCTCCTGTGCTTTGTGGACTTTGAGAAAGGGCAGTTGGAGAATAACTGGTGATTATAAAAGATGTAGGATCCTTTCCAGTCAGAACCTGCCTGATGAATGGTTCTTTCTTGCTGGAATACTGCAAGATTCGATACCCAGTGTCCTGGCATTCCTGCTCAGCCTCTCCCTCGTCTGTCACTTCAGTGTCCCTGCTTCTCTCAGCCCAGGCCTCCTTTCTGGTGTATCTGGGACAACGTCAAAAAGGGCTCCTAAAAACTGGGGGTTATTGTGTGGCTTCTTCCCCTCCCTGAGCAGCTGTGAGCAGGTTTGAGAGCAGAAAGGAGAAGCTGGTGTTACTTGAAGTGTCAGCAGGCAGTGTTTTAGTGCAGAGTCAGACATCTGTGAGAGATGAAACTGTACCAGGACCTGCCCAGCTTGAAACTTGATGCATTTTCAAGAACTTCTGCTTTTAAAAAATTCTTTTAAAGGAAACCATGACCACTTCTGAGTATAGAAACATCTGGCCTTATGGCTTTGAGCTGAAATGAACATAACTTGGGTTTCTGCTTTTCCACTTTCCCTGCTGGCCTTCCATGTGGCCTTGGCTGAAGTGTCCCTTCTGTTCTTTTGGCAGACAATGATGAACCACTCTTAAGTGGTTCTGGAGATGTTTCCAAAGAGTGTGCAGAAAAAATCCTTGAAACGTGGGGAGAGCTGCTGTCCAAGTGGTAAGTGGCAAAATCACATTCTGAAAATTACAATTCTGAATATTCTCATTTGTTCCGTCTGCTTGGAGTTTTTATTTCCAGAGGCTGTTTGATATAAGATTAGTTTGGATTTAGTTCTCTATCCATCCCCACAATGCCTCTTATTCTCTGTCTTGATGTTTTTTGACTTCTTTGGAGGGTCTTCGAAATATATTAATTTTTGAGTGTGTGCTTAATGTATAGAAATTCATTTATGCTTTGTCTTTAGTTGGTTCTGTCTCAAAATGAGTATTCTACCTACCTTCAGGTTTCTTGGGATTTTGTTAAATGAAAACCTGAACTAAGTAGTACAAAGAAAATGCAGCTCTTGCTTTGTCTATTTTGCACAGATCACTTCTATTCCTCTTTGTAATTCCGACTGGGTTCACAGCCAATTTTTCCTGCAGCTGTCATATCTTAGTGACTGTAGCTTAAGAAGTGGGAGATTTGGACTTGGATAGAGAAGATGTTTTTCCTCCCTTATCTAAAGGAAGGCTCCAGAGCCTGCCAAGAAGGAAGTACATGAGCTCTGCTGTTTTTTCCCTGGAAAATGTCAGTGTACAAGAAGAGTGTTTCTTGACAGTCCAATTGCTAATGCAACACAATCCTCCTTTGATGAGGGATTTTTTTATTCATCTTGAAGTAGCCTGAGTAGTTCCAAAGTGATGCTGATTGTTATATAATGCAGGGGTTTTGTTAGGTTTTATTTTTCCCCACAGAGGGAAGTGATGGGCAGCATGAGATTGAACTCAAACAGGCTTTATTTTGACTCTGGCTTTAATTGTGGCCTGTGGCTTCCTGAAGGAAGCAAGGGCTGTACAGCAAGTCAAAGGTTGTGTGGGGTATTGATCTGAGGAGTAGGACAGCAGAGGTTGGAGTCAGTCATGCAGCTTTGGAGAGAAAAATACTGATGTGACCACTTAGACAGGAATCTCTTTAAATTAAGATTATAACTATTTGGTATTTTCTGCAGTTGTTGCTAATTTGAGTAAGTAGTTTTCCTTCCAGTTTGGTTTTGCACTAAGTGGACACATTTTTAAGAGGGGAAGGTTGTGGTAAAATGTTACATGATCCCTTTTCCCTCTCTTAGATTTGGAGAAACATCTTTCCCAGATGAGCACTCTGCATCTGCTGCTGTGAGAAAGTTTCTTTCAACTTGAATTTTTTGTAATTCTTCCAAGGGCTCAGAGATAATTAAGCCACCTGACTCCCATTGGAAATGTTTTGGCAGCTCTAAGAGGATATGAAATGCTTCTGTGCTAATGCTGGCAACAGCTTTAATATGTGTTAAAGGGCTTTCCTTCTTAACTAAAAACGTGTATTTGGAAGCAATGATCCTCCAGCTTTTAACATAAGAGGATTGAAAATAATAAAAATCAGACTTCAGGTAGTTTCATGCTAGTTTTTTAGAATTGTGTAATTAGATTTGTATAGTAATTAAGTATTTGGTATTTTGTGGTACCAAAGACTATCTGGCTGATGTTTCATAACTGCTGAGTCACACAATTTTTCTCATTTCAAAAATAGTTTGGAAGAATCCAGTAGTGTGTAGCCTTTAGTCTACAGCCTTCATGAGTGTATTCATTGGAACTGCTGTTGTACTTCCTCTGATCTCAGATTAAGGCAAAGCAGTTTTATAGGCCTTTAGAAAAACATTGAGTATTTTGTATATAGGAGGTATTTTATATAAATATACTTACATATAATAAAAGCATAGTATATACTCTATAGATATGTTTATAGGTGTGACTGTATATTGCTATAAATGTAAGTACTAAATAAATACAATTTTTATTTCAGTTGATTTATTTTAGAGAAGGCACAGTGAAGGAGGACATGATTGTCCTGGGTTCTGTGCAGTAAATACTGATTTAAATGTCTGCCTTGTTAGTCTCTAGATTATTGTGATAGAACGCTGTAGACTGGAGAAAGGCAATAGGGCAATCCCAGTCTGTATAAAATAATCATCCACATACCTGTTAGACTGTTACAAACATTAATAAATACCAGTTTATGAAGAACATAATGTAGTTAATGTGGCACAACTTCATTTTTCTGCCTGGCTTTTCCTGTCAGTTCTCTTGATCATTTTAACCAGAAGTTTGTTTTTTTTTGGTAACTGTAGAAAAATAGTAATTTCTATGATTTAAGGTGTGTGTCTTTTGAGGATTTTTATATATAAGCCACAAATGAGCTGTTCAGCTTAACATGCTGTAAGTGCATAAATTATAAGCAGGTTTAGTTTTTACTAAAAACTGTTCTGTAATTTATGAGCTGTCAGTGGTCTCGCTGGAAGTAGCTGTTCAGTTTGGGCTGGCTGGTGCAGTGGAGGCTGCTCTAACCCAGGGATGCAAGTAGCTGTTCAGTTTGGGCTGGCTGGTGCAGTGGAGGCTGCTCTAACCCAGGGATGCAGTTAGGGAAGCCAGGGATGATGCAGTTAGAGAACCCAGGGATGATGCAGTTAGGGAAGCCAGGGATGCAGTTAGGGAAGCCAGGGATGATGCAGTTAGAGAACCCAGGGATGATAGTTAGGGAAGCCAGGGATGCGGTTAGGGAAGCCAGGGATGATGCCAGGGATGCAGTTAGGGAAGCCAGGGATGATGCAGTTAGAGAACCCAGGGATGTAGTTAGGGAAGCCAGGGATGATGCGGTTAGGGAACCACGAGAGGCAATTTTTGGGGCTCTGACTGACTCTGTCCCTTCTATCCTGAGGAGGTCACCTGCTGCTGGGCTGTGAGCAGCTGAGCAGTGTAGGCTTCTGCAAACTACTCATTTTGGGGTAGTTTGAACTTAGAATTTGCACACTGTGACCTTTGTCTTCTAGTATTTAATGGAGTGTGTTGGATTGTTGAATGTTCATGTATATTTATATATAAAAATTTAATGGGAATCAAGAAAATAGTTCTCCAAATTTTATTTATTTTTCATAACTTGAATTTCACTTGGAGATCTAGCCTGCCTGGCAGCTGTGCCACGTGTATTTGTGGTTGTTTGGGGCAATAACTGAGCCCTCCCCTGTGCAGGCACCTGAACCTGAGCGTGCGGCCCAAGACGCTGTCGGCGCTGGTGCGGAGCGGGGTCCCCGAGGCGCTGCGGGGCGAGGTGTGGCAGCTGCTGGCAGGGTGTCACAACAACGACCACCTGGTGGAGAAGTACAGGATCCTCATCACAAAGGTACCGTGGCATTTTTCAGCTGGTTTTTTTCACCCTGTTTCTTAAAGAATGGGAATACAGTGGTTTCAAGTGTGCTCTTGCCTGAGGGTCCCTGAGCGTACCTGAATGTTCAAGGCGTGACTCTGATTGAATCCTCCACCAAAACCCCTGACAGAACTGCTGGTGGCATTACACTGCTTTCCTTTTATAGTCCTGTTTCACTCAGCTGAGTTCTGAGTTTGTAAAAAATAAGTATCCTATTAATTGCTTTCATAATGGACAGATTAATTTTCTTTGCTTGTTTGGCTTTTCCGAATGGAAGCTGAATTTTGTTGTGATGTCTCAGTGTTTATGCTGAAAATCCAACACCAGCAGAAATTGCAGCCTTTTTTGGTAGAAAGAAAACAGAACATTGTGAATGTTTTTGCATTAGACAGCTGTTTTGTGGCTTCTCATCTTGAATGCTGACCTCACTAAGGTAGGAAAAGGATGTAAGGATTATATGTACAGACACCACTCAGTGGTTCTCAAAGTTCAAGTAACAAATGGGTCACAAAATGAAATGTCACTTTCTTATCCAGGAAACTGATGTGTTAGTTTGGATTTGACCATTATCTGTATAGCTACATTGGATTTTATTGCTTTCATCAAACATGCAAGTCTAGAAGGACTGTATTAGAAATTATTAATGATGCAGCTTTAGTACAAATATAACAGAAATTAATTATTCACCAGTTAAAAAGCAAAACAAGTGAATCAGTCTTTGTATATCTATATTCTGATGGCACAGATTCACAAGGAGCAATTAAAGACCTTATTCTGAGGGCAGGAGGGCTTCTGAAATTAAACTCAGTTTCTGCTGGAGTCATGCAGGAAGGATCTTACGTGATATGAATGAATCATGTTAGATCAGCTAAAAATGTTCTGCCATAAGTATTTTCATGTACTTGGTGAATATAGAAAAAACTTGATCCAAATTCCTTAATACTGGTTCATGCATTGTGGAGCTGTAACTTGGATTTTATGGTGAATAAATCATATAAGTAATGTGGAGGTTGAATGCTCTGGCAAGGAGTGATCACAGCTATCCTGTTGTGTTATTTTAATTGCCTGGTGAGTAGTTGTCAGCCTCACTTGTTTCTCTGTTTCAGTGTATCAGAATGCAAAAGATTATGTCTTTGTGGCACAGTTGGTGACACGTTCTGCTACTATCTTTGTCAGCTGGAAGGGGATAGTGTAACATTTCATTTTTAAACCTGTGAAACCTTTCCACTGGTTTTCATTTGGCTGAGACAAAGAAAGTAACCTGCATCTCATGTGTTGGAAGCATCTCTGCAGTCCAAGTGTAAGGGAGAGCAGGCAGGTCCTGCACTGTGTTCTGCTCAAAAGCACTGGCTATGCCTGCAGCGGTCATTCAGCACAGAAACTAATTAAGAAATTGGAGAGAATAGGTCCTGACTGACCATTTTCAGGCCCTGCTGTAGTCTCATGAGGTCTGTAGTCTATTACCAGCATGCTGCCATAGCCAGCTCAAGCAAATGAAAATGAGGTTTCCCTAATCTGGAGGTGCCATATTAGCCCAGTGCCATGGTTGTTTGTCTTGGTGTGACTTAAATACGGAAACAGGCCGGGACTGCTCCTGTAGAAGGGACAGAGGTTGGTGTTTGAGAACAGAAATGTGTGCTTGGCTCTCAGGGGAATTAGCATTTCTTCAGTCTGCAGGCAGTGAAAGAAGTGCAAGGCTTTAAATAGGGCTATCTCTCAGTGGCTGTGTGGAGGTACTGAAGAGGAGAACAGGCAAAAAATGCAAGGATTGTTTGAGAGGCTGAGGAGAACCTGAATTCAAGGCCCAGCAATATAACATTTGCACACCCTTTGTGTGCTATCTATGCCAGGAGTATAATAATGCTGGGCTTCACTTTGGCCTAAAATTTTTGTTTTCATGCCTTTCTTAGGCATGAAATGTGATAATTTTGGAGTTCTAATGTGACTAATTCTTACTGCTTTTAAAATAGCAGCTCAGATACAGTAAGTATGCAGCAATGGATAGGAGTAAATGCTCCTGGGGAAAAAAATGGTAATTATGTAAGACAAGGGTCCATTTTATTACATTGTTTTCCCATCTTTGTAATGCTTTGCCATGTTTTGCATGTCACTATTGCCAATTCTTCTCTGGCAAGCCTGCAGTTGTTTGCGTTACCATGCCTTGAAGGGGGTTTGTGGTAGAATCTAACTGCTGTGGTGTAGTGCAGGAACACAAGGAGTCCATGCAAAACCTATGCCATGAATGTGAGCAGGAGATGCAGGAAACCTGTGTGAGTGCACATAATGCTCATAATCCCTTCTGTCTTCATGTTATCCTCTGTTTCTGTAGCTGCATTTGATTTCTGCCAGGCTTTTCATGACCCATGCAGCAGCACAGTCCCAAATTAATAAGGATCGGTCTTGGCAGCTGCTTCAAAACCTTCTGGCCTGTTTCAGGGATTTTTTTTTCCTTTGTGCACAGGATGTTGGATGCAGCACCCCAGGATTTCTTCTGGTGGTTGCTTTCCAGGGCAGGCTCAGGTAATTTCTGGTTTTTGTTTTCCTTTGCAAATTAATTGCTGCAAGGACAGCTTGTTTACTGTTGAGTTCTGGCTGCTGAAGGATTGAAAAGGAAGTGTCTCCTTTATGCTCTACTATGCAGGAGAATTGTGTCTAGCTCTCATCTTGAACATGACTTAAAAATTGCATTGAAACTGTGTTTCGAGGTGTGCTTGTTCGGTTCTATTTATCATGACAGCATATATTAATTATTTGCTCTGGTTTTCTTTGCCACACACTGGCTGGGGTTTTGTTGTCTGCGCTTTTGTTATTGCAGGAAGGTTGAAGTTTCACCATCATGGTGTTTCCACAAATTACTTTTGAGAATTTGCACACCATCTGTGTGCAGTAATAAAGCTTTTAGCGGCTCCAGTTTGCCATGCTCATGGTGGGGAGTGTGGATGAAAGCCAGCCCAGTGAATTAAGGTCATGTCCCTACTGGGGACAGAAAGGAAGCTCTAGGTAAAATGATCTAGACAATCCCTGGGAGAGGCATCTGGTCCTGGTAGCACTTTGGCAATCACAGTTATGGCTGTTAATCTCCAGGCTTCCAGCCACTGAAAGGTAGCAGAAGACACATGGGGACTCACTCCAGGTATGAACAGACACCTGCCGGAAAAATACTGCATGTTCTTGACAGGCATAGGTGGATGGAAAGCATTGTTGAGTAGAAAGCACGTCAAGTGAGCCAGACAGGCTAAAAAAGATAAATAATCATGGTACAAAGTGAAGGAGACAGCAGCCACTTCTCAGGCAAATTTTAGAAAGGATTAGTACAACTACTGAATCTGTCAGTGGAGAAGTTCTTCATAATATCAACATTTAAAACCTGACATTTACAATATTGAGGAGAAAATAAAAAGCTTGTGAATATAGGTCTGTGTGGGAGGAAGTAATGTAGAAAGGAAAAAACCATGAACTGTTGTACCAGATAAATACACTATATTAGGAAAATTACAACGTGAGAGGGACATCTTGTGGCACAAATAAAATAAAAAGTAATAGTCTGGTGTCAGGAGGAGTATCCTGGAATGTTACCCTGGGGTCACCATTTCTCGGAGAAATCCCAGACTGGTAAGAGATTAATTTGTTCCAGTCTTTCTTATAGCAGGACTCCTGCTACCCACTTTCTCATCTTCCCACCTTTTTGTCTCCATGAGACGAGGATTATAGAACACAGATGTTCTACCAAATATACTTGTCTGTCTTGGTGCAAATGATGCTAGTTTTTAATGAAGAAATAGATTGAAATGTCACTACTGCTATTTGACTGAATGTGTTGTCATCGGTGGCATAAAATGTGGCAGAATCTTAGCTGTGGGTGGTTAACACTTATTTTCCACTTATATCACAATCATATTTCCATATGTTCCTATAAATTAAAAAGAATACATTGAATTTTCAGGAGGACAGAGGGCCTTGACTGTGTGCAATCAACTGAAATGGAACCTGCCATGCATCTGTGCATCACAGTGTACAGTGACGTAGCCTTGTCAGTGTGCCTGAACCTTGAGATTCCTTGTTTGATTAGTTTTGATCACATGGTGATAAAAGTTTAATTATCTTTTACAAGCAGCAGTTTTCCCAGGAGTTGTCATTTTAACTTTGAATAATTTCTGGAGTACTTTTCATTGCCTTAGAAGAGGTGATGCTGTTCCATGGTGTAGGGTGGGAGAAGTCTCTACACCACAGCAGTGTTTTCAGTCTCACAGACCTCAGCCACACATTCTGGTGTCTTTAGGGTGGTTCTTGTGGTGGTCTGGTGGTGTACCCAAGCTGAGAGCTGGGGAGCAGGCACTGCACCCCAGTTACCTTCCAGGTGCAGTTTACTTCACCTTCTGCTGCAGGGGCAGGAGGAGGTGGAGCTATTGCTGGTTTGGGTGTTTTAAGCGAGCGGGAGAAAGCTGGCAAGAGCACTCAGTGGAGTCATTGCTCTCAGCTTCAGAGAAACAATAGAATGTCATTTAAAGGAAAAAACAGACGTGGCTCTTCTACAGAAATACCTCGGCTCTCAGGGCTTTAAGCTTTTCGTAAAAACCTGAACACTGGGCAGTTTGTGATTTCATGGTGCATCTTCTGTTTAAAAATTTTAGCAACTAAATGTTGTTTTGGTTGGGCTCAGTATTTCCATTGCTACCTTGTTTTTATGTATCTGACATAGAAAGTTCAATGTATCAAGATACATTTTCTTGGGGCTGTTTATAATGTGTCTATTCGTGCCCAGGGATCCAGAAATACTATTTGAATCAAACGGTATGTAAATCATTCTCTGCTTTGGAAAGATAGGAGATCATTTCTCCAGCAGTAATTCAATCATAGCTTGTTTTTTTGTAAATCCACAATACCCTGGCCTAAATTTAATTCAAAGTTTATGTTTCCTAGATACAGTTCTAGTACTTCAGTTACCATGAGTAGAAACACCATAAATTAAAAAAAAA